TGCCGGCTGAGGAGGAGGGGCCTGTCCTGAGCGCGGGAGATTTCGGCGCGGCGGGCTGGCGGGCCTGCTTCTCTGGCCGTCCACTACCCCTTCCGCAGCCTCATGTGCTGGGTCCCTCGACTCCTCGCTCAGATCCCTCGGAGTAGGTTCCACACTCAGGTTCCACTCCGGCCTTTACGAACCCCTCGGTTCCTCAGACCTTATATCCTGCCCTGGGGTCCCGACACGAGCCGCCCCTTTCTCCCGCCGCGCTTTCCCTGACTTACCCTGGAAGAGGGGTCAGCGGCCCGGCCCTGGGCCGTCCACGCAGCGCACCCGCTCCCACCCGGGAACCCAGGCGATGCCCTCGTTTGGGGATCCCAACCTCCCAAAGCCTAGGAGATTTCGAGAGAGAGATTCCCTCCCCTAAGGGGCTGATCTCCCAGTGCTGGCTGTCGTCCACCAATTCGAGACCTCTCTGAGCCCAGTGGTTGGGCTAAGGGTGACAGTAGGACAAAATGACAGGTCTGCCTCAAGGGACGTTGCATTCCTAGCGAGAGGCATGAGGGGAGAGCTACTGTACAGGCCAGCCCTGCAACCCTCAGAAATGAACCAGGGAGTAAAACATCTTGTTGGCTCTGCTACTCTTATAAAGTCAAAGCGTTTTGCTTTTAAATGATTCTTGCATCACTTGGACCCTGGAGCCCACATGAGCTTTTGAAGGCTATTAGCATTTTGATAAGGAATCTGGTTCCTAGAGAAATTTCCTTCAGGAAGTTTTAGCTGGACAGATAGGATTCCTCATAGATTACAAATCTATCGTAGAACTGGAGTTTCGCAGAACATTTTTCATTCTTAGGACACATTGTTTTTTCAAAATCAGCCCATTACATATATATTATTTCGGGACAGGTGTTTTTTGTTGTTTGATTTTGCTACACATGTTTAAAAGAGTTTGTTTTTTTTTTTTTTTTTAAGGGGGCACATCAAGATTCTGAGGATACTTTTTTTTTTTTTTTTTTTTTTGGTCTTTTTCGTTTTTATCGGTACCAGGGATCGAACTCACGACTGCCTGCTTGCAAGGCAGGCGCTTATGCCCCAGCCCCGATTCTGAGGATACTTCTATGATTCTTAAATTTGAGGAATTATCTACTAGATCATTTTTAATAAGTGAGGTGACAGATAAATTACTCCAGGCTTGCTCAAGGTATAGCCAGATCTGGGAAGGGAAAGATTTTTAAGGTTAATGATTAAAAGAGATCTTAAATGGGATAAATCCCAGTAAACATGGGAGAGATAGTAGAACTAAAGACAATGAAGAGCAATGAGGGACCCTAAGTGGGAGCCGTACTTTTATCAGCGGGCTTGTGTCTGGAATATTTGTAGTAGGCTGTTTGTAATATTTATTGCATTTAACAAGCGTTTCCAACAGAGTGAGTCCTTTGTGTTTTTTTTTTTTAAGTTTTCTTTTTCTATTTAAAAAAAACTAGCACAGACATGGTGGAAGGACAACTCGAAGGAATGTGGGCTTATTTATTTCTCAAGGAGATCTAGTGGTAGAAGATCCTGGGCATGATGGTGCATGCATGCCTGTAATTCCAGCACTCAGGAGGCTGAGGCTGGAGGATTACCTTGAGTGGGAGGCCAACTTGAGCTACATAGTGAGATCAGGGTCAGCCCTGATCTATATAGCAAGACTCCGACTCAAAATAATTAAAAACAGCAAAGGAAAAGCTAGAGCTTTGAACTTGAATCTAGCGGGTTTGGATCTTAAGTCTGATCTAGCTATGTGATCCTAAGTCAGTGCTTGAGGTTAACTTTAATTTCTCATCTATAAAATGGAATAAGTACTGTAATATTAATCACAAAAGTTCTAACAGTAAGTTATAATTGGAAATGAGATGAAGGATAGAAACTTATGAGTCTTGCTCACTCTGCTGCCCTGTATTTGAGCAGACTGATTGACTGGCCCTGACACCTTCTCTTCTGACTTGTGTAGAGTGATAAACCCCTTGTAGAAAGGGGGAAGTTTGGAGAAAGAAAGACTGGCAGCTCTCAGTTGGTAATCTAGGGTCCGGTAGCTTAGGACTTCTTTTTCTTTTCTTTTCCCTTCTCTCCTTTCCTTTTTTTTCTGTTACTGGGGACTGAACTCAGGGTTTGGTCACTGAGCTCCCCACTTTTTAAGTTTTGTTTAGGTCTCAATAAGCGCCCTAGGTAGGACTTGTGATCTTCCTGTCTCAGCCACCCATTTACTAGGATTACAGGCAGTAACCACCACACCAGCTTCGTTTAGGACTTTTGATGCTTGCGGGTCTGAGCATGACCCTTTGGTATTGCTCCAGGGAGCAGGACCCCTTAACCAGAGAGCAACAGAATCCCATCCTGCTTCTGCTCTTGGTTTGATGGGAGGGTTCTGGAACTGGGCGGAGGCTGGAGAAGTTTGGCTTATAAAACACTTGCTGGGGTAGAATTCGGTTTTGTCTCTCCTTAGTGGCCCCTAGAGTGCTAAGAACAAATGAAATAAGATCTGCCCAAATAATTGGATTTTTTTTAAAGTTACCCTAGGACTCTAAAATAACTACTAGCCAAAATGTGGTGGTACACGCCTGTAATCCCAACACTTGGGAGGCTGAGGCAGAAGGGTTGCTGTGAGTTTGAAGCCAGTCTGGGCTACAAAGTGAGCTCAAGGCCAGCCTGAACCCCATAGCAAAACCCTGCCTCTAAATAAATAAATTAAATAAATGAATAACTAGCCCTGATCTTTATAACTATTTGGGCTCTTGTTAACACAATTAAGTTAGCAATCAGATCATATAAATGCAAGTTTTGTAATCTGTAACTACTCAAATATAAGATGATGGTATTATTTACTAGTGTTTGTATTAATAATTGCCATGATACAATGAAATATCTATAAAATGGGAATAAATAGGGGGTGTTGTGAAAGATACAGTGTGTGTAAATTCATACAGCATGGTGCTTGCACAGTAGTTAACTCTGTTGTTGTTATGATTTAGATATTGTGAAGGTTAAAAAAGAAATATTGTAAGCTATAAGCAAGTACTTCCTTTTTTTGTGGTGCTGGGGATTAAACCCAGGGCTTTCACACTGAGCTATAGCCCCAGGCCATGTTTTATTTTTTGTTTTGTGATAGGGTCTCCCTGAGTTGCCCAGACTAAGCTTGAATGTGCAATCCTGACTCAGCCTCCCAGAGTGCTGGGATTACAGGTGCCACAGCGTTCAGCTTTAAGCAAGCATGTGTTCTAAAAGCTACATGTGGTTCATGGTTGTGTACATCACATTTATGTGAATATAAAATATATTTATATATTTTCTGTTAGTCTGCAACTGTGTAGAATAAAATATGTCACAAGGATTATGGGTATTCAATAAGACACTTAGGTGTTAAATGAGATTTCTAACTTTAATATTGATTTTATGTTTGTAGCCTAGATAAGCACTAGAGAAGAAAAGGTAACTATTGGAAGTGGTTTACTGAAAATAAAAGTGATGAACTGTTAATTTTTTTTGTTTTGTTTTTTGAGACAAGGTATTGCTAGGTAGTTCAGGCTTGCCTCAAACTCACAGCGATTCTCCTGCCTCAGCCTCCCAAGCATTGGGATCACAGGCGTGCGCCACCATCTCCAGCATTTTTTAAACTAGTGCTTATCAAAACTTCCAGGCTGGTGCTCAGAAACAGCCTGCTTTATTTAGCGCAGCCCAGCCAGGGATAACCAGGACTGCACAGTTCCCACAGGGCATTGGGTGTAATAAGCCCTCAGCAAACTGCAGTACTGAGCATAGGAGGGAGAAATTGTGACTTAGTTACTTTCTCCATCTCCTGGTTTTATATTGAAATTCACTGAATAGCTGCCGGTGGTTGAATTCATTTCAGGGTGGCAGGAGAGTTTGGAGGGTAGGAGTGGAGTGCTAGAAAGTTTAAACAAGGACTGCACAACTTACAAGCTGTGTGCCCTCGCCCATGTAATTAACTTTGCTCAACCCTGTGTTGTCCTCTAAGAAATGGAGATGATTGATGTATTTTCTTTCTTTCTTTCTTTCTTTCTTTCTTTCTTCTTCTTCTTCTTCTTCTTCTTCTTCTTCTTCTTCTTCTTCTTCTTCTTCTTCTTCTTCCTTCTTCTTCCTTTCCTTCCTCCTCTTCCTCTTCCTCCTCTTTCTCCTCCTCCTCCTCCTTTTCTGGTCTTTTTTTGATACAGGGTCTCACTATGCAGTTCAGGCTGGCCTTAAACTCACTGTATAGCCTAGGCTGGGCTTGAACTTACAGCAATCCTCCTGCCTCAGCCTCCTGAGTGCTAGGGCTATAGGTGTGTGCCGCCACACCAGGTTTAAGAAAAAAATTTTAAACTAGATTTGATCACCACAGAACATTTTAAATTCAATCCCAGATTTACATGCTGTAGTTAAACTGTCCCCTGGGATAGTCTGTAGCCATTCTGGCTGGGGAGATGTGACTGGTTCCATAGGAGACCTTCTGAAGTGTAAGATGCACATTAAATTCTAAATGGAGGAAATTAATAGCAATTTTATATTGATCCTGTGTTAATATACGGGTTAATAAACTACATTAGCTACCTTGATTCAACTCTTATTAAATATTAGTCATGTTACCTGTTTTCTTTTTCTTACTCAAATATAGCTGCTAGAAACTGCTTCTGTTGGCCAGTGTGTCGCCAGAGACTAAAGAGCAGCGGTGAACACATCAGGCTGTTCGCATCATGGAAAGCTGGGAAGTGTTTGCCACCACTGGGCTAAAGTAACCAGCGAGCGCTGCACGGGTGTCCTCCAGACTCTGCACTGTGGTGAGAGAGGACAGAACACATTCCAGGGTGGAACACGTTACCTTACAGTGTTTCCGTTTGGGTCTGACTTGTCCTCAGGCAGTTGGAGACATGGTACAGTCTCTCCTGAGCCGGCCTCCTTGCTTGGAAATCCTTGGCCTGCCGAGGGGATGGAAACAGAACCGTGAACCTTTAGAAGGTAACCAAGATAGAATCTCATAGAGTGAATCTTTGTAGGCTAAATCAAGAGTGAGCGGGAAGGAGGCATGGATGACTGCTTTATTTCATTTTGTTTTTTGAAACAGGGTGTTGTTGTAGTTCAGGCTGGTCTTGAACTCACTGCATAGCCTAGGCTGGCCTTGAACTTTTGGTGATCCTTCTGCCTCAGCCTCCACAAAGTGCTGGGATTACAGGCATGCACCACTGTACCCAGCCCCCAGGATTTCACTTTTAAATTAAAACGTTTTCCTTAGAACAGAAATCCATTGTATAAAAGAATGGGAAAAGACACATTATGTAAATAGCATCCAGAAGAGTGGAAATGACTACACTCTGTCAGATGAAGTAGATTTCAAGGCAAAAAGTGTCATCAGAGACAAGGAAGGACATTTTCCTGACAAAACAATCAACAAATCATGAATGATACCACAATTTTAGGCCAGGTGTGATGATGCTCACCCTGCAGTTCTAGGACTCTGGGAGGCAGAGGCAGGAGGATTTAGCTAGACCTTCCCTCAAAATAAAAAGTTTTAAAAAGTGCTGGGGATAAAGCTCAGTGTGAACGCTCTGGGTTCAATTCACAGTCGTGAAAAGTACATGAAACAAAACCTGACAGAATTAAAGGAGAAACAGGCAGTCCAACAGAAATAGCCAAACACTTCGGTCCTCATCAGTAGAGAGGAAAGCAGGTGGAGACCATGTAAGGCTCGAAGAACCACGCAAACCAAGTGGGCCACACCGACCGGAAAGAGGCGCCACCCTGCGGCAGCAGAGCTCCCATTTTCTCAGTGCATGTGGAACCTTCTCCAGGATAGACCCCATTCAAAAACTGGACAGAAGCTGGGCATGGTGACGCACGCCTGTGATCCCAACACTCCAGAGGCTGAGGCAGGAGAGTCGCTGTGAACTTGAGACCAGCAGGGGCTACATAATGAATTTAAGACAAGACTGAGCTACGTAGCGAGACCCTATCTCAAGAAACCAAAAAGCTAAAACCAAGACCAAAACCAAAACACAGGGAACTATAGAGCAGTACTGAAGCGAGCACTATCCTACTGAGCTACATCCCCAGCCCTTTAAATTATTTTTTACTTGATACAGAATCTTGCTAACTGTGCTCAGATGGCCTAGGACTTATGATCCTCCTGCCTCAGCCTTCCAAATAGGTGGGGTTATAGGCATGTTCCTGAAGCCTGGCTCAAGGATGGACATTTTTTTTCTTTTTTCAAATCCATTTTATTTCAGAGGAGAAAAAAGCAATAAAATTTCAAAACACATCAATCAAGCAACAATGGTACACACGTTGTGCATTGTTGAAGTATGGAAATTATGGTTTTTGTTTTGAGACATGTAGTGCAGGCTGGCCTTCAGCTTGCTTATATAGCCCCTGCTGGCCTTGAACTCATATTGATTCTCTTGCCTCAGCCTCTCAAGTGCTGATGTTACAGGTATGTGCCACCATGCCCAGCTTGTCTTACTCTTGACGCAGGAAAAAAAGCGCTGTTCCCTCAGGAATAGTGACATAGAAATTCTCAAGACAGTCCTAGCAAACTAAGTTTAGAAAAAGGTTATCTACTATGGCCAAGTGGAATTTATCCCAGGAGTGCAAGGCTGGTGTGACGTATGAAGATCAACACACTAATTCACATTAGTAGAAGAAAATACAAACCCAACAGGATCATTTCAATACGCACAAAGAGCCTTTCACAGAATCTAATACCTTTTTATGGCATAAGCACTTAACAAACTAATATTAAAACCCAGTGGTAATGAATCCACTGCTGACGTCACACTTCTGGAGAAAAGTCAGATACTTTGATTCCTGAGAGTGAAAGACAGAATGTCCGTCCTTAGGTGGGATGCACTGGCACATGTCTGTAATCCTACTTTGAAGGCTGAGGCAGAAGGATCTGAGGTCAGTTTGGGAGCTTCAGCAAAACTCTGTGGCAAAGTTAAAGGACGAGGGTGGAGCTCAGTGGTACAGAGCTTCCCTAACACTCAGGCCCCTAGACCGAGGTTCAGCCTCTAGGGTTTTGGATTAGGCAGTGTTTCTGTAGCTGTTAACACTAAAATCAGAGAGACAAAACTGAAAGCCCCTGTCTCGGCCTACTGAGTGCTGGGATGATAGGTGTACAGCACCACACCTGGCAAAAATGTACTTTTTATTATTTTTTGGTATTGGGGGTTGAACTCACGACCTTGTTACCTGGCAGGCGCTTGTGCCAGAGCTAAATCCCTGATCCTAAAAATGTGCTTTTTAAATAGGATCCCCAAGAAGAGCTTTCTGAAGATGAGGTTTTAGCAATCAACAATATATTGATTGCTTCAGGAAAATTAATTTTCTGGCAAAGCAAAATTATTTAAAGGATTAATGTGGAATTTTTATACATCTGGTTTTTCATTTGTAATAATAGCTAAAAAGATTTGATCCCTATGTTTGGGTGATAATATTGTATGCTTTATTTCACTTAACTCGTGTTTATTTTATTTTGTGTGTTTCTTTCTTTTCTTTTTTTGAGACAGGATCTCTGTATGTTGTTCAGGCTAGCCTTGAATTTGAGATCCTGCTGCGTCCGCCTCCTAATTGCTAGGATTACAGGCGAGTGCCACTCTGCCCGGCTAATTCTCACATCTAACCAATGAAGCTTCAGCCATTTTGTCAGGGAAAACGTTTTAAACCTTTCTTCAGTCCTACGTAGCATTTTAAAAACTCTTGAGGCCATGCATTGCGTTTGCCTCTGTGAGGTGAGGTAGGGTGCAGAGGACAAACGGTGGCCGTTTGGGGCCAGTTTCCCACTCATCCGCTGTGACCCTCTGCTTCCTGGGTTTGTATGTGCTGTGGCAGAGATGGTGACGGCGTCACAGAGGGTTCTTTTCCCAGGAGCTAAATTGCTCTGCGTTTTGTGATCGGAGCTTTTGTAACTCTCCCTGCCCTTTAGAAGTAAATCTTCCCACTCCCATTTCCCGCCAGCCAGCTGTCATTTATTATAGCTGTCAACATAAAACGACAGCTGTCCCCACTTCTCAGCCACTGTGTCTGCTGTGCGCGCTGGAAGCCAGGTGACCATCGCAGGTCATCGGGCATAGACGAGGCGTGGAGCAGGGGATGCTGCTGGGGACGGGGCTGTGGAAAGCTTGCTCTGCTGGACACAGTGCTCTCTGGATGTATTGGAAAGCTCATATTCACAGCCCCTGAAGGTAAGATGAGAGCTGCCACTCCGTGTTGCAGATCTATGGACCATAGGCCGACCATAGGGATCAAGCAGTTCTTTTCATTGACAACATGCACTGCTTGGGAAGGTCTTTGTTCCACTCTCCAAGGTCCTGCTCAGTTTCCTACCTTTACCTAAACTTTTCCTCCATTTGTTGGAAAACCTGTAAATACAGGTGACCCAAAGAAGTCTTTGTCTAGGTGCTAAGAGAGTTCTGACCTTCCTGGACCCCACAAGTCAGATTACTTGTCTCTTGTATTTAAGCCTTTGCTGAACACTCATTTTAGGAAATGGGGACTCTGGCCAGGCTCCTGATAGCACTGCACAGTGGCATGCAGATTCACGACGATGTGGCTGCTTAAGTACTTTTCATGTCCCTTCCTCCTCCTCTCCATCCTCCCCGTTTTCTCCTTCCTTCCTTCCTCCTTTTGTGGTCCTGGGGTCTTTGCACTGCTCTACAACCCCCAACCCTTTTTAATTAGTTTCCAGGCAGGGTCTCATTAAGTCACTAAGTTACTGCATCAGTAGGTTGGGTTCCCATTTGTGATCTTCCTGTCTCGGTCTCCAAGAGTGCTGGGGTTACAGGTGTGTGCCACTGTGCCCACCTAGTTCTTTCCATTTGAGGGTTCAGGCTCCAGCCCCTCAAAGGCATCTCTTGTACCAGTGTCACAGAGATCCCGTCGTATACACTTAGGGACTCTTTGGGGGACAGAAAGTACAGAGAAATGGTCTAAACTTTTCAGACTGAAGGCACTGCTATTTGATGAGTCCCCACTAGGTAATAATTTTCTTTATGAGGTGACACTGTGGCTTTACCTTTACCTTTACAACAACTGAGTAGGTGGCTTGTTAAGCAGGTCTTGATTGCCCACGGATTGATCTAATTCTTCACAAGCACAGTGAATCATGCTTTCCTCTTTCAGTGATCTCTGAAAACTAGAAAAGGTGTATTCTGCCCTGAAAGGAAGCAACTGTAACGCATAGAGGCTGAAAAGGGGGACTCGGAGATCTTTACACATCTTAGGACATCATCCAAGAAATTAATGCCACTAAGAATTCATCTGGTTTCAAGTTGTTCCTTTCTAGAGGAAGACAAGTTAGGGAATTCTGAGGGATTGGATTTTGATTTCTCAGGGAACAGAAGGTGAAATGGTCAATTAAAAAAATATAATCGGGCCGGGGATTTAGCTCAGCAGTGTAAGGACCTGCTTGGCAAATGCGAAGTCGTGAGTTCAATTCCCAGTACAAAAAAAAAAATTATATATAGAGAGAGTAGGAGAAAACAGTAGCAGCTTTTTTGTTATACTGAAAATAAAGAATAAAACTCGCAGTGGGCGCGGAGAGGGACCCGACCTGATCTCTACACTTACTTGGCTGCCGTGAAGAAGCTAATCAGCGGGGGCAGTGGCGCCCCCACATGGGTCCTGGAAGGTTTTTCCACGAAACCACCTGAAAGAAATCATATCCGAATGACCTGGGATGGCCACAGGAATCACCGGGGCTGTGATCTACAGTCTGCTGGTCAGCTGTCCCCAAGTGCCGTCCCTGACTGAGGTAAAGTGGAGATGATGACCTGCCCTGGACCCTGCCTTCTGCTGCCTGGGGCTTCTGCCTGGGAGATTCTCTGATGACCTCCGTGACCCTGGGTGACAGCAGCTGAGGGCAGCTCCTGGACCCCACAGGGAAATACTCTCCTTCCAAAACCTGGCCCGTCGGTCCCAAGAACAATCCTGGGGTGGATTCAGGACTGAAACTGCATCATCCCAGGGTGAGGTTTGGGGGTGACTTACAGTAGTCAAGGCTGGTTCTTGGGACTGGGTTTGTCCAGGCGACCCCACAGTTCTGAGTGTGTGGCTCAGACAGGTCGCCATGGAGACCCTGAGGCCATTGTGACCCAGCCAGGTCAGGGCATCCTGCCATTGGCCATCTCCACTGGCCCTCTCCACTGTCCTCCTGAGCCACGGAAGGGAGGGAGGCTGCTGGCCCTCGAGAACTTTTCTTTTTAAATTGATTGATTGATTGATTACAGTCATCATGGGGAGTTGGCACCCGTACATAATGCATCTTGATTGTTCTTTTGTCCCCTGTACCTCTCCGCTCTATCTCTTGGTCCCTTTCCATTTTTTTCTTTTTTTCATGCCTTTTCCCTTCCCTCCCACCATCCCTTGTTCCCATCCCATTTGAAAAAAGAGCTATTATCAATCTTTATATCTTGAGTTTCTCATGTAAGAGAAACAATGTGATATTTGTGTATCTGATTTCTTTCAGTTAATATTACCGTCTCCAGGTGCATCCATTCTCCTGCAGATGACCCAAGTTTGTCCTTCTTTATGGCAGAGCAGTACTCCAAGTTTATCCTTTTTTATGGCAGGGTACTACGCCACTGGCCCTTGAGGATTTAGAGCTCACTGGAAGCTCCTCATGGGGTATAAATGTAGATCGACTTCTGTTCTGAAGCTGCATGTGCAGTTCCTCTGCCTAGCAATTACAATCCTATTCACTACGCAGCACTGAAGGACAGCGTGATCTCAAATACATGAAGATAAGCTAATGTGGAAATTCCATGTTAAATTTGTTCACTGCACTTCGGGTTATAATTGAATTCTAATGTGACATACTTACATTATTTTTGTTTGATATTGTCCTGGCCCTTTATGCCTTAGTTTTGCTGTGCTTTGGGGGCCTTCTCAGTGAGCAGCTTCCCAGCTGTTTTAGCTCATTTTGTCACAAGGTCTTACTAAGTCACTGAGTTCCCCAGCACAGGCTCAAACTTGTGGTTCTCCTGCCTCAGCCTCGTGGAGGGCTAGGGTTACAAACCTACACCACCACATCCGGCTTATTATTCTGTTTATTAACTCAGAAAATTTACTAAAGCCAAATTCCACATTTAGGGGGATTTTCCTTGTTTGTTTGTTGGGTGTAGATCCTTCCAGCCACTCAGAGTCCATACAATACTCCTTTCCATAGATCTCTTCAGGGCAGTGGTGTGTGAGTGACCAACAGATAACACGCCTGGAGCCCCTCCTTAATGATTCCAGTGATCAGCAAACTCAGCCGTGCGGCCAGCAAAGGGGCTTTCAGTCACCCAGTAGGTCCCCCGATTCCCAAGCCTTGACCCCACAGCTGGCTGCCTCCACACTTAGTGCCCTTGACTGTGACCAGCATTATTTGGGGAACATGGAGCCTGTGGATGTCACAGATATTTTCTAAACGTTCACATTGAAATGAAGGCACCTTGTGTGTGGGGGGGGGTGGGCAGAGGTGACGTTTGCAAAGGCTGGAACCCGAGGGCCCCTGCTCCAGGCCAAGCTGCACACAGGTTTGTCCAGAGCTGTGGGCTTTCACCCCGCCACACAGGTGGGAAGCAGCCGCCACAGCCTGCTAGCGGAGGGTAAGGGGGCCGCCCCAGGATGCTGGGTTCCCTTTCCCAGGCAATAATTTCCAAGCGCCACAGAAAGTGACGTGTAGCTGCCTCGTGCCCAGCTTGTGCGTGGATGTGGCCCACCAGCTCTGCAGGATTTGTGCCTCAGGTGCAGCTTCACAGTCCGGTGCTCAAAAGTTCATCATTGCCGAGCATGGTGGCCCAAGCCTGTAATCCCAACATTTGAGAGGCTGAGGCAGAAAGATCACTCCAAGTTCAAGGCCAGCCAGGGCTACAGGGATTCAAGGCCACATGAGCTACATAGTGAGATCCTGTCTCACAAGAAAAAAGAAAGAATGAAAGAAAGAAAGAAAAGAGAGAAGAAATTTCATCTTTATGGGAAGCAGGGACCTTTTGTAGCATATTGTGCTCAGTCTGTTATATAAAAGTTAAACTTCAGATATGACAGCTCTTCCAAACTGTGGATTTGTTAAACTAGATAGGAGAACTAGACCAGGAGAATTCTAATTCGCAATCAGGGCTCCTGTAATTCATGTAACAAAGGATCGCACCTGAAGCAACCAGAGAATAGAAATGTAATCTGCTCTTCACCTTTCTGAAGGACATTTTTCTCTAGGCAGAAGATTTGAATACATATTTCTCCAAGAAAAACACTCAAATATACTACAAACAGAGGGCAGAGTGGAGAAGGGAGGAATGGCTTGGGAGACAGAGAAAGGGAGGGGGAGAGGGAGAAGCAGAGGGAAAGGGAGGGGATAGAGGGGAAGGAGAGGGAAGGGGAGCAGGAGAGAAAAAACATGAAATGTTTCTCTAGGTTTCCCATCTCAGTTTTTAATCACTTTGGCTGTCAGGAAATTCTTCCTTATATTTAGCCTTCTTCTTTTTGCTTACTCTAATCAAAACTTGTTCTGTATTTGGTAGAGCTATAGAGAGGCAAAAAATTTCCTTGTCCTGAAGCATAAGTCTCCTTTCACTAAAAATCTTTTCTTTTTTTGAGACGGGGTCTATGTAGCCCAGGCTGGCCTTCAACATGCCGCAATCTTCCTGCCTCAGCCTCCTGAGTGCTGGGGTCACAGGTGTGTGCCGCCACGTTCATCATTCGGAGGCAGCGGTTTCAGAGCCTTCAGCCAGGCCTCTGTGAAGCAAGCATGTTGGACCAGGTCTCAGAGACCCTCTCCAGCTCTCGAGTGTCAACATCCTCAGAGAAAGCTTGAGCAAATATGAACGGAGATGTTTTCTAAGCCCTAGAGAGCATACCTGCAGCCAGCTATGAAAAGAAGCCAGAAGAGGCTGAGGCAGCGGCCTTTTGAACGCTGTCTCGGGTGGCACAGGCAGGAGCTCACTGTTAGGACATGGGGCACCCCTTGGGGCTGTCACACAACTCGCTGTGTTCATTTCCTCTCATAGAAAATGCGCGTTGTGTGTGCAGCCTGCTTGTGTCTCAGTAATGTCCCTGTTCAGTGTTCAAACAGCTGGCTGTAGCCTTGTTGTTGTTGTTTTTTGAGACAGGGCCTCGCTCTGCAGTTCAGGCTGGCTTTGAGCTCACTTTGTAGCCCAGACTGGCCTCAAACTCACATCAGTCCTCCTGCCTCAGCCTCCTGAGTGCTGGGATAAGAGGTGTGAGCCACCACGCCTGGCTTCGACTGGCTACATTTTAATGCAAAATTTACAACATTATTGTCCATGCGTCTCACAATTGCTGTCACTGAAACAATTATTCCCTTGGAAGAAACATACATTATCCACTTTTTGGACCCATTTTATGTGAGAAATGTCATCTCCTTTTAAACTTAATGAAAGCACATAGTGAAATTGAAAGCAAACAAGAAAACAAGAAGTTACTGACATGCTGAATGTGAACAGAACTAAGACTGTTTTAAAAAGTAGTGAAATGTTTGCCTTGCAAGCTTGGCTGTGTGGAAGACTATGTTAATTATAAAATTGCTAAGTAATTTCCGTTTGACCCTTCCCCTGCCTTTCACTGATTCTGTGGTGAAGCTGTCTTTTCTCTCTGGTAGGTCTTGGAAACTGAAGGTTAAGGGGCTCCATCTAATCTCTCTGGCGTGACCCTGTTACACCTGCAACAGTGCTGTGTCCCTGGTATCTGTTCAGCAAATGTTGAGGTTATTCGTTGCCTGGCAATGAGGAAGATTAAACTGCTAAATGTAAATAAGATAATGAAAATTTTGCAGGCTGGGGAGAATTTCTGAGAACCATGAAGCTAACTGAAAGCATCTTAGGCAGTGACAAATATTATATGCTGGTCATGAGAGCAACACCATGATAATGAGACTTAGAGAACCGAATGTCAGACATAAGCTTTTACACATCTGAGCAGAAGGCAGGTGGCCTGGTGCTTCCCCGGTGAAGCTAACTTTGTTTGAAACAGTGTGGAAATTCTTCTGTTTGGAATTTTCCTGGAGCCACAGTCAGGCTGCCATGCATTATGGCTTAGTTCTAGAAAGTTCTCCCCAAAGGCTTGTATGTTCCGAGGTGAGGTTTTTGGAAGGGGACTGGATCATGAAGGTGCTACGTGTCCCATAGCCGACCTGCCAGTGGGAAGTGGGATCTGGGCAGGGAGGAGACGGGTCACTGGGGTGACCTGAGAGGGTGTGAATCTCTCCTTAGCTCTTTCTTTCTCTATTTCCTGGCAGACCTGAAGTAAGCGGCTTTCCTTGGTGGCAGGCCCATGGCATTTCTGCATTTGAACCTGTCTGCTGGTGACTGAGACCTCGTAAACCATGAACCACAGTCAACCTCTCCTCCTTTAAATCGTGGGTGTTGGGTACTATGTCTGGGCAGGGAGAAAGTGACCAGGCTGCCATCCTTCAGGAGGGCCAACATGACATGGGTAATGGTGTTCCTTTTTCTCCTCTTGGAAGATGTTATTAAATAGGATGCCTTTGAGCTGGGCGTGGTGGCACACACCTGTAATCCCAGCACTCCGGAGGCTGAGGTGGGAGGATCCTTGAGAGTTTGAGACCAGCCTGGGCTACAAAGTGAGCTCAAGGCCAGCCTGAACTGCATAGTGAGACTCCATCTCAAAAAAGACAAAAAAAAAAAAAAAAAAAAAAAAAAAAAGGTTGCCTTGGACAGTTAACAGCAGCACTGTGCTAATTATTATCTAACTGGAGAGGAAGAGCAGATGCGCATGGAGCTGAGCCGGGCATTGCTCTAGGTCCTTCCAGGACCTGTTCCCGAGGAGCCGGAGACCCATCTTCTTCCCCCTCAGGGCCTCCTGGTTCCTCTTCCTCTTTAAAGTGGCTCAACTTCTTCCCAGTGGGTGAGTTTCAGCCTGTAATCCTGGCATTCTGGGAGGATGAGATAGGAGGGTGGCAAACTTGAGTCCAGGCTGGGCAGCTTAAGTGTGAAGTCCCTGGGTACAGTTCCCAGTACCCCCATCCCCAACTCATGAAGAGTTTCCTGGGCTGCCTATTCAGAGATTGGAATCAGATAGGCAGCCCGGGAAATTATTTTTTTCTTTTTCAGTACTAAGATTGAATCCAGGGCCTTCACACTGAGCTACTGAGCTACATATGCAGACTTTATAAATAAAAGAAATTTAATTAACTAACTAATTAATTAATTATTTTTAGAGAGAATGTCACTAACTTGCTGAGTTATCCTGGCTGGGCTCAAACTTGTGATCATCCTGCCTCAGCCTCCTCCAGTGTTGGAATTACAGGTAAGCACTACCATGATCAGCAGAACATTGATTTTTTACTTCAAAAAAGAAAGCAAAAAGGGGCTGGGGATTTAGCTCAGCAGCATAAGCACCTGCCTTGCAAGCAGGCAGTCGTGAGTTCGATCCCTGGTACCAATAAAAAAAAAAAAAAAAAGAGAGAGAAAAAAAATGAAAGCAAAAGCAGGTTTTACATTTTGCTTTTTTAATTCATGGTGCTGGGGACCTAGGTAAGCACAAAAACCAGGTTTGGGTTTTTAAGACCACAGTTACATGTTTAGTTTAATTAAAAAAAAATACAAATGTAGAAGTGTGGAGAGCACATGGGCAGATTATAAAATGTGCAAAGTGAAGTCATTTTCAGATCCAAAGATTCTATACTTGACATTACAGTGAGTGTGGTGGAAATAGAAGCTTATTATGTGGGGTTTTTTTGCATGCATGTTATAGATTTTTTGCAATGTACAAATACTTTTCTGTATTAGTAAAAAGTTGTTTAAAATAATTGCTATATTAACATGGTTCTTTCTTGCTTGCTTGCCTGCCTTCTTTTCTTTCTTTATTCCTTCCTTCCTTTTTCCTATCATTGAAAATTCTGGAAGGCATAGGCATAGGCAAGGGGTTTCTAAACAGAACCCTGGCTACACAGGAAATAGTACCAAGAATCAACAAATAGATTTGTGTCAAATTAAAAAGCTTCCACAAAACAAAGCACCAAAATCCTTCTGCGCGGCAAAGGAAACAACCAAGTACAAAGACAAGCCACTATTCTTCAGACAGACAGAGGATAGGCATCTGGAATGTGTAAAGAACTAAAAAAGAATTAGACCCTCCCAATAAAAATACTTTTCTAATATTGAGACAGGGTCTCTCTGAGTTACCCAGGCTGGGGTCTTTATGCCTCAGTTTATCAGAGTTGCTTGGATTATAGGCATGCACTATCATGTCTGATTAAAATGTTTTTTTTTTTAAGGTACTGGTGATTAAACTTATGACCTTGTGCTTGCCAAGCAGGTGCTTATGCCGCTGAGCTAAATCCCTGGCCCATTTTTTTTATCATGATAAAAATATACAAATATACACAATGACATAACGAAATTTAACTTGGGCCTCACACTTCTTAGGCAGGTGCTCCCCCACCATCCACACCCTCAGTTTCATCTTAAATCTGTTTTTTTTTTTTTTTCAGACAGAGTCTATCTTGATCTTTAACCCAGTGTAGCTGACTGGCCTCAGACTTGTGTTCTGCCTCAGCCTCCTGAGTGCTGGGATTGCAGGCACATGCCATCATGCCTGGCTCTATCTTTCTTAATGGCAGAGCGAATAGAGCCATTGTGTGTCAAACCACATTTTCTTTATCCATGTAGCTGCTGATGGACATATAGTCTACTTCCAAGATGTGACTGTCATGGATTGTGCTGCTGTGCCCATAGGTGAGTATTTATCACTGTAGTGTGAATTTGTGTTTCCTTAGTGGCTGGTGATGTTGAACATCACTGGGGGAATGAGAGCGTTTTTTCTTTTTCTTTTTTTTTTTTTTTTATACCAGGGATCGAATTCGTGACCTCGAGCTTACCAGGCAGGCGCTTGTGCCAGTAAGCTAAATCCCCAGCCCCACATTTTGTCTTCTGACTTAAGTAGTGGATATTTTATTTATTAATGTATTTATTCATTTTGGTTTATTTGAAACAGGCTCTCACTGTGCAGCCCAGGCTGGCCTGAAACTCATGGCAATCCTCCTGCCTCTGCCTCCCAAGTTCTGGGATTACAGGCATGCACAACTGTACTGTAGAAGTTACCTTAGAGTTGGTTTGTAAACTATGAGAAGAATCTTTATATACAGCTCGGTGGTGGTTTCATATTTCACAGAATTATAGTTTAAAAAAGAAGAAAAGCACTGAGGTGAATGTTTGGAGATATCTCTTTTCATCTTTTTTAGAAGTGCAGCAGGCCAAGGAAGGCCTGGCCTTGTGGGTGGAGTGGGTATCTGGGTGGACTGCACGAAGCCTGTGCTGTTTCCGCCTGTCTGCAGCACCTCCACACAAACACAGCCTCTAGAAAGCAAACCTCCTTCCACAGCAGCCTGACTAAAGGAAAACTGAAAACGCTCCTATCAGAGTAAGTTGAGTAGCAAGGAGAAGCCCCTGCTTCATTACCAGCGGTGGGGGAGGGTTCGAAGCAGTGAAACTTAAAAGCCTTTTAAAAGGCTCCTTAGGCAGAGTGTGGTGGCACCCACCTGTAATCCCAGCGCTCAGGAGGCTGAGGCAGGAGGATTGCCAAGAGTTTGAGGCCACCTGGGCTACAAAGTGAGTTCAAGTCCAACCTGAACTGCATAGAGAGACCCCGTCTCAAAAAACCCAGGGCAAAACATTTGAATTTTAGTAGTACATGTCTGCAGCACGTAATGCTTACTTCACTGTGGGGAGCTGGTGTGTGTACGTATCACATGTTAGTTCTTTTTATGCATCTTCCTCCTCCCTCCTCTCCCTGTCCCTCCTCCTCTTGGGTTATTCTGATTTTATAGGTGAGGACGCAAAGGCATGGTGCAGCTGAATGACTTGCATGTGTTTCTGAGCTCCTCTCCAATGGAAAGAGCAGCAAACCCAGGGTTTCTGATGCTAGGGCCAATGCTCATAGGCACATTAGAATAGTAAAACGGTAGCCAGCCACGGGGCTGCAGCCTGTAATCTCAGCACTTGGGAGGCTGAGGCAGGAGGATTGCTGTGAGTTCAAGGCCAGTTTGGACTACACAGTGAGTTCAAGGACAGCCTGAACTACATAGCAAAAAACCAAACCAGAAAACCTAACCAAAATAAAACAGTAATTATGCAAAGTTTGGCACAAACATGAGCACAGTGCTGTCTACATTATTTGGTGTATGGTGGGTGATGTTTGTTAGTTTTCTTTTTTTTCCAATGTCCCTCTTTGTCTGTTGACTTGTTACTTTGCAAGTTGGGCATTATTTGGTAGTCCTATTAAAGATTGTGACGGTTAAAGGTTTATATGCAACTCTGAAGGTAGCCAATTCTTGGAATTTTTGTCTTTTTAGATTGAGAAAGAGCCCAAAACAGAAAAGTTAACTAGAAAAGGAGACTTGGTTTTTAACAGTGCTTCGTTTCGTTGGCGCTGGCTCTGGAGAGTCTCAGTAATAGGAGCACACAGGTGTTCACAGACCTCATGATTTTGTATTTAGTTGTGAAGTTCAAAAAATGCTGTCAAAATGATTTTGCCCCTTAATTGTATCTTAGCCAAGCAAGGTATTTTTCAGGTCATGTCCAGGTTTTGGTAGCAATACACTTTTTTTTTAAAAAATTATACAGGGAATGCTTTTGAAGATGGAGGCTATTAGATTTGGTTTTTCCTGACTTACAAAGCAAAATGTGAGTCTGTTGAGGTTTCATGAATGCTGGCAATAAATGAAGATTCAGTGTCAGGGACCGAGCAGGCATCCTGAGCGACTGTGCGTGTGCTGTGGTTCTGTTTGCCTCCAAATCCTGTGGGGATAGTGTGGCCTTGGTGAGTGAGGGCTGCTTGTACAGCTAGAAAACACTGTGTGGAGGACTCCATCACATTTATTTATTTGCTTGATTCTGGGATCAAACTTACAACCTCGTGCTTGTCAGGTAGGCGCTTATGCCACTGAGCTAAATCCCTGGTTCTAACTCCACCACTTTTAGAGCAAGCAATAAAACAAACCTTCTTATTTCTGCAGAGACAGTATCAACTAGGGTTCACTGGAGGACATAGATAGATAACATAATATAATATAATATAATATAATATAATATAATATAATATATTTGCAATAGCTGCCTCAGGGTCAGGTATGGAAGACTGTACAATGGCCATCCGTGTGCCGGAGAGCTGAAGGATCCAGTCAAAAGTCAAAAGCCTGGAGCTCTGAAAAGCAGAGTCCCATGTGAATCCATAACAGGAAGCTGAAGCGTCTTTTCTAGAAGCCAGGGGGCTATGGCACAGACTGGAGCTTGTCTAAAGAAGCAGAAGCCAGACTGTGCTTTTTTCCCTTTTTATTCCATCCAGGCTGCAAGACTATTGGTTGGTGCCACCCACGCCCAGGCTGGGTCTTCCCTCTTCAGGAAGTCAGAGACGCCCAGGACTGTGCTAATCAGCTAAATTCAAGTTGACACCATAGTTTACCTCACAGACCCCTTGCATGTCTCCCGCGGTTACCAGCAGAATAAGAAACCCTGAGAAACAGCCTGAGAAAGAAGACCAGCAGTGATGAGGAGGCTTCACCAAGGGCAAAGCGAGTGAGGTGGTGGCTGGCATAGCAATGGAGAAACTGCTCTGCAGTCTGGGCAAATGGCAAGCAGTCCCATGTTTTGGCACAACAATTTGTAAGGCTTTTGTCTGTTATAACTTAGAAGACAACAGATGTTGCTAGTAAACTTTTCATTTGGCTAAGGAAATGTTGCAAGTGTCAGTTTGTTGATCCTAAATGCAGATGATGGGGAATAGGACAAGAAAGATGAGAGGGAAAAAAGCAATGGTTTAATGTGCAAGAAGAATTCAGGAAAAATATAAGGGACCCAAGCTTCATAAAATTGTCTATCACCCCTGATCTCCACAGCCACTAAGGGTCTCTAAACAAAAGGAAGCCTGGGGCTAAACCCTAAATTAAGGAGATAGCTGGGACTCAGTGCCTGTTAGACTTTCAGTAGACAAAAGCACATTGCTCCACTGCCTGACTTAGGACCCAAAGTAGGAAGAGGCTTGTCTCAGAGCAATTATAAAAGTGTTTCTTGTTTCACTGAATAGACCTATAGCAGGCACAGGAAATCCACAAAAATTTCAGAGAAGTTTCACTAGCAAAAGCACATGCAGTTTGTAATCCCAGCACTTGGGAGGCTGATTGCTGTGAATTTGAGGCCATCCTTGACTACATAGTGAGATCTTGTGGGGGAGAGAGAGAAGAGCTTAGACTTCTCAGGGCTCCCTACTGTTTATTCAGTAGGAACCAGACTGAGAAAGCTACTCAGCTGCGAAATGGAACATTTTCTTTCCCTTTTTATTTCTCTTCCTTGTCTTCTTTTTGGCAGTACTGGGGATTGAACCCAGGGTCTGCATATATCCCCAGCCTTTCTTACTTTTCATTTTGGGGCAGGGCCTTGCTAAGTCTCTAAATTGCCAAGGTTGGGCTTGAACTTGTGACCCGCCTATGTCAGCCTTCCCGAGTGCTGGGATTACAGGCATGGGTCACTGTACTGACTGAAACATTTCTTCTAGAAAGAAAAGATGGCCTCAAAGGGCTGAGCTACAAATTCAGAGTGAGGAGCTAAGAGTCACTTAGAAATGGGGCTGTCAGGAAGATCCTAGGAGCTTTCCATGCTTCCAGTGTTGGGAAGACCTGGCCACAAGGCCCCAGCTGAGTTTCAGAAATTGCTGTGAAAACATGACTTCTATGTTGCTCCCACTCCCTGCCTGCTTTTTAAAATTTTATTAATTAATTAATTTATTTGGTGGTACCGGTATCGAACTCATGACCTCACGCTTGTCAGGCAGCTGTTTATGCCACTGAGCTAATCCCCAGCCCCCTGTCCCCTTTTTTGAGACAAGTTCCCACTGTATAGTCCAGGCTGACTTCAAACTCACAGCAGCTTTCCTACCTCAGCTTCCCAAGTGCTGAGATGATAAGTTTGAGCCATCACACGTGCCTCCTACTTCCCCCTTGTGAATAAGAGTGTTTACAATGGTTGTCCTACCTTCCAGGGTATTTGGGGTGGGTGACAGGTGGAATGCTTGCCTTTTCATGGTGTAGCTGTCCTGGAGGACTGGAACTGCAGGAACCCTCTGTAGATGATGGGCTCTCAGACTTGAGCAGGAAGCCATGATTGGAGGAGACATTTGGGGGTCCAGGAGTGGAGGTGAGCATCTTTTCCATGGGAGAGGAAAATAAATAATTGTGCTCAGGTAGATTGAAAACATGGCCACTTTTCCCTCGGAGAAGTGCAGGTTATGCTTCCTCCCCGTCCTGTAGTGAGGGCTGGCTTGGTATTTGCACTCTTACTCCAGGAGTACAGCATTGCTGATTCTGCAAAGCATCATGGACCAGGCCTGGGGAGAGACCATGGTCCCTGCCCACACCCTCTGGGAACGTGGTGCTCTGTGGGAGCTGCGAGGTGCCACCCACTGGGTGAGCCTGCTGGACATGCAGGGCTCCATCAAGAGCTTAAATCAGTCACCAGACTCCTGAAGGCCATTTTGTGCCACTTGGCCTTTTAAGCCACTGAGTTCTGACATGCTTTGTCACGGCCCCCATGGTAAGTGATACAGATGCACATTCACTGCAGGCCTGGGACTTGTTAGGTTCATTTCTAGATGTCTCCCTCAGTGCCTCATGTGCTCGCAGGGAAGGCTCTGGGGAGAGGCTGGATTGGGGGTGTGATCTGGGCAGGTCTCTCTCCCTACCTCCTCCTCTGACCTCGCTCTGCTTCCTGCCTGCTGTGCTGTGGACTGTTCCTCTTCTGCCATGCTCTGTAGCCAGACCATTATGCACTGAAGCCTCTGCAAATGGTGGGCCACAGTAAATCTTTCTGCCTTTGAATTGTAGGTGTCAGAGGACTAAGTCTCAGCAAGGAGAGAATAACTAAGACAGAAGCCTTTTGACAGAGTATCCTGCCTCAGTACTTCAGAAATCTGGGTAGTGTGACAAAAAGCTGGCCGTTTAGACCTTGTTGAGTAGCAGCTCTGCTCTGAGGCAGACACAACGGCGCTATGTACATGGGTTCACCAAAATGCACATAAAACAATGTACTTAGCAACACATGTTTAACGGCCCCAAACTGGAAGCATCCCGAATTTCCATCCATGCTAAAGTCGGTGAATCATTTGTGATGTATTTATACACTGGAAAGGCACATGGAATGAGGGTGGGGGATGGCTTCCATGGGCAGCCGCAGAGATAAATCTCAAAAAGATAAAAGAAAAGAATGCCAGCTGCAGAAGAAAATCTGATTAGGAGCAAGACAGTGGGTACTTCTCTAGGAAGGGGTAATGTTTGGGCGTGGCCCATGGCGGCTGCTGAGGGTCTGCTAATGATCTTCTGAAATGGGTTGAATTACACATGAGTCTTTTCATGACAGCCCATTTGTCTTTAGTTTATGCTTTATGTACTCATCTGTATGTATGCTACACTCCAGTGAAAACCTTTTTATTTTTTTATTTTATTTTTTATTTTTGGTGCCGAGGATCAAACTCATGACCTCACGCTTGCCAGGCAGTCACTTATGCTGCTGAGCTAAATCCCCAGCCCCGTGAAAACCTTTTTTAAAAAAAGAGGATCCTGAAATTATTCATAAAATCATAAATTTAGGGTTTTTTTCTCCCAAACCTAGGATACTCCAATTTATATATCACAGTGTCTTCAGGAGAGAATTCACTTTTGTTTTGTCAAATTTTCCTTTCTTGAGACAGCACTCATCTCTTTTCTCTCTTGTACCAGAATCCTGTTTTTACTTCAATAATCTTTATCACATGGGAGTAGCATCCTTTAATAATTTTTGTATGTTATGAATTTAAGGAGACAAGAACACATTTGCCCCAGATGATTTTGTATAAAGTCATCTTGTAGCCAAGCAGAAGTGGTGGGAGAAACCTGCAGAAGACAGGGCTGGCGATGTAGTTCAGTGGCACAGTGCCTGCCTGGCAAGTGCAAGGTGCTGAGTTCAATTCCTGGTACAAAAAAGAAAAGAAAAAAAAAAAAACTGCAGAAGATGAACATGAAGTAAGCTGGAGACAGATTATGAAATATCTTGAAAGAAAGTAAGGTTTTATACTTTATTTTCATGTACTAATAAAAAAATCGATCTCCTTTGGTATTTTACAGAAACAGTGGCATATCTGTGTTTAAGCACAAGACAGTTGCTTTCTGGTTCCCTCTCTAAAAATATCTCCAAGAGAAAGTAAACAACTGGGCAAGGTGGCATATACCTGTAATTCCATCCACTCAGGAGGCTGAGGCAGGAGGGTCTTGTGTTTATATAAGCAATTTAGGAGTTCTTGTTTCAAAATACAATGATAAAGGGCTGCAGATATAGCTCAGGGTCCCCTGGTTCAGTCACCACTGCCTGCTCTCCCTCTTGAGTAGGCTGGGGACCTCTGCAAGGCTGAGCCACAGCAGGTGAGTCAAGCGGCCAAACCCAGGGCCAGCAAGGCTCCTGCTAGATGTGGGGGCTAGTGCAGACCTCCCAGGTCAGCAGAACAAGGCTGCCAGTGCTTGTCTGGGAGAGGTAACACTCAGACCCGCTGTGCTTGCTGGGAGCAGCTCGCCAGTGAAGGGGGCTCCGAGAGAACCTTGTGTTATACATGGGACCACACTCACCTGTCTGGGGGTGAGGGGACCCCGACCCCTGAACCCAACCCCCACAGTCCCAGTGTCACAGGATGTAATTGTGGGACTAATATTCCAAACATCTCCCAGGATGTTTGTGCTGTTGTGTGGTATAAGAGGAAATCAGTCTGTCCACCAACAATGATTAACCACAAAATCAATCTTTTATAACTTGTTACTTGGAACAAGTGGCCGTGGTGATCGCACTGGAATGACACTAGGAGAAAGGTGAGGCAAGGAGGAAGATAAAAGCAGGTGAGTTCGAAGCACGAGGTTGTGAGTTCGATCCCGGTACAGAGAAAAAAAAAAAAAAAAGCAGGCAAGATGCGCTTATCAGGCAAATGTCGCCATGGGGCAGCTGTCAACTATGGTCACACAGAATCCGGGTAAAACACTGAACAAGAGCCGGGCATGATGGTGGTCACCTGCAGTCCTGGCATTCTGGAGGCTGGGGCATGAGGATTGCAAATTCAAATACAGACTGGGCAATTTAGCAATTTAGGGAGATCCTGTCTCAAAATAAAAAACAAACTGAGCTGTGGGGATCCACCCAGACATTCTCCTTGACTCTAAAGAAGAGCAGCTATCTCCATTTTGGATAAACTTGGTCTTATCTCCGTGTACTGATATGCACAGAGCTGGCTGGGCCATTTCTTTGTCCCTTTAGTTGGCTTTAAGCAATGTGAATTGCGTGGCTGAGGAGCTGATGTGTAATCTCTGGAGCAAAGCAACACGTCAGTGTTGCCCCCTCCCTCCAGTGACTCCCCAAATACATGTTTGAGCTGGGCAGGATGGAGAGCCATGTTCCATGCTGTTGGCTAGGACAGAGCCTTGAGAAAGAGGGTGTGACTTCCCAGGCACAAAAGATTGTACATTAGAACTGAAGCATAGACCCCAAGATATTGGCTACTACCTCAGCTGTATAATGCAGAAAGCTCTCTTCTCTGCATTTCTTGCCCTCTGCACATTGCAGAGGTGATCTCAGACCTCCTATCATGGTAGTCAAGGAATTCAGGCATTCACATATTTCCACTACCCCTCATTGTCACTCCCTCATAGAGATTCAGTAGAACCTGGGTT